AAGTAAATAATTTCAGGAAAAAAGTTTATCTTCCCAAGAAAAAGGAGCAAAGGGACTTGTCACTGATATAAGCAAAGACATATAAACACATTTCATGCAGGTGTATGTACCAAAGTTTTATTTTCCTTGTTTCACTTTGCACTGGCACTATTCTGCAGACCAGAATTTGGGTCTACAAAATGACTTACTAAGATCCTCTGATGGGAAGTCTGGGGAATTTAAGACTTGTATTAGTGAGCTTTTTCTAGCTTATGCTATATAACAAATAACTTCAAAATCTCATTGGTTTACCATAGCAAGCACTTATTTTTCACTCATGTTACCTGAAGGCTGCATGTTAGCTGCTGTGGCTCTTCTTTGTGTTCTAGACTGGCTTCAAATCTCTATGATTCATACCCTTCTCATGGCACAAGAGCAAGAGAGGCCAAGCAAAACTGTGCAGTTGATTTTAAAGCTTTTACTTAAAAATGGCATATATCATATCCATTCACGTTCCATTAGCCAAAGTAAATCACATGTCTAAGCTCACATCAATGGGTTGAGAAGTACACTTATGGGGGGAGAAGCGTGTATATATATATATATATACACACAAAAGGGGGGAAGGTGATATTTGTGAACAATATACAATATAATAGAGTCATTTTGGAAGTTCTTAATTGGGAGACTGACATGAAAACTAAGAAAGACAGTTTCTCAGCAACAGTTAGTATCAAGTGAGGCTGAGGACATTGGAAAACAGGAAAAGTAACTATTCAGGATAGTTTGTTTCTTCTCATGACTCTGTAACTGCCACCCAACTATCAGCATTCTAGTGACAAAATTTCAGAATAGCTAATCCCGTGATGTCTGTCTTGGTACTGCATGACACATTGTAGTCGTTGTTCAAGTCCTAGATATCTTCTTCACTTTTAGTTTCTTTTTTGTCACCAAACCACAGAGATTTGGTCCTGTAGATTTTGCTAGTCAATACGGTGGAAGAATATTCAGCAGTAAAAAGAAACAAAATATTAAAACATGCAACAACGTGAATGAATCTCAGAATCACTGTGCTATGTGAAAGCAGTCAAACACAAAAGACCACATGAACCTTTTTATATGAAGTTCTAGAAAAGGCAAACCTCTGGTGAGGAAAAGCAGATCAGTGGTTGCCTGGGGCTAGAAGTCTGGGGAAGGGATTGACTGCAAATGCACAGGAGGAAGCTTATTAGGGTGATAGAAATGTTCTACATCTTGACTGTGGTAGAGTGTCCATCAAACTGTATACCTAAACTAGGTGAATTTTATTGAAGATAAATTCTACTTTGATAAAACTGGAAGAAATAAAAAATTGTGCTGGTCAGAAAAGTGAGGATGAGCTTCTTTTTAGAAAACCAAGAGGAGAAAAACAAATCAATAATTCTTTCCATAAATCTTTGAACTTGTGTGTCTGTGTTTTAGGAGGAACTTGAAACAGCCAGGAAATTTCTGTATTATGAAATGGGCTATAAATCTCGATCAGAACAGTTAACAGATCGCTCTGAAATTAGCCTACTGCCTTCAGACATTGACAGGTACTTCTAATAAGTTTCTGTATCCCTCTTTTTTATCTTCACCCATGTAAGTATATTTTTCCATTATTCAATGTTGTGTTCCAGGTATAAGAAGAGATTTCATAAGTTTGATGCAGACCAAAAGGGCTTTATTACCATTGTTGATGTTCAGCGTGTATTAGAGGTAATATTTTTTTGGTTCAATATCTTTAATAGCAGAAGAATGTAAAGATTATATTACATAACTTTTTCTCATTTAGAGCTTTCTATGAGTAATATTTCTCTTTTAATTTTTGAAAGGTTGGTGACATTAATAAAAGGATATGCATAATATTTAATTAAACCTCATTATTTTTTGGCTTTCCTTTTATTTAGAGTATCAATGTCCAAATGGATGAAAATACACTACATGAAATTCTGAATGAAGTAGATTTGAACAAAAATGGACAGGTTGAACTCAATGAATTTTTGCAGGTGAGTTGTGGGTGAAAGGAAACAAGTGTATTTGCTTTTTATCTTTTGGTTGTCAATGGATGTTCAAGAGTGGGTTTTTAAGTCCACATGGTTGTCACTTCATTCTGAAAAAGAAGAAAGCTTGAAGCCAGCAAAGATTGATATGTCTGCCCTCAAAGATAAGGCTCTACGTGGTCCATGTTCTTTTTCTTTCTTTTTATAGACACATTCTATTATGTTGGACTATTTAGATTAAATCCAAATTAATTATGACTCAAAAGGCTGATTAAGAAGTGTGCTTTTTAAAAAAGTATGCCATGGAATACCATTGCCGGACCATTTTTTACCCGTTTCAAAAGAGGCAACACAATCTTCCTAATGTGGAAAGTAATTTTTTATGGAGAAAGTTTAAAAAAGTCGTAGCTGTATTCATTTGAGAATCATATTCACTTGAGAACCTGACATGTAATTATTATATTCTTACATTATAAAGAGCCTGAAAAGCAAAAGAAAGAAAACCTGTTTTCTGGGATCAAGACCACATAATTCAAGCATTTCTATTTCCAATTTTCTACTTACCAAGGCTCAATTGTTTAATCATAACCATGAAGGAAGTAAATTTTGTTACTTTAACTTCAAACTGGGTGTTACACGTCATTCCTTAAAAGTTCCTTAAAAAAAAGAATTCCACAAACCCATACATTATTTGTAGCTGTCCATAGGACTCCGATCATATAAAGAATGTATTGGTTTCCAAGCAGCTAGGTTTTTTCTATAGTGCTTCTTGGGCAGGTATTTCAAATGAATGCCAGGTCTTGCTTGCACCATGGCAATGATGAATGCTGAACATGAAATAAATTAATGCTGGGGATTTTGGTCAATGTCAGCCTTTTCCTCGCTGTGTCAAGTTAAACAAACAAGATCAAGGCAAAGGAAATGGTAATTGTCTCTCTGGAGATGAGCTGCAGATAAGAGCATTGTTGAATCTAAATGCGGAAAATTTTCACAGGTTGTGTCCAGCATTACAAAAAAGAATGTTTAGTTCCTTAGCTTATTGTTTAACTAAGTGCACGTTTTAAATTGAGTTTAAAATTTATGCTTGGGAATTAGAAATCATTTCATACATTTTTTATCTAATTTTTTTCTTGAGAATATTATATTGTTTGTTTCAAGATTTTAGAAAACTTTTCTTCAAAGAGATAGCTCATGCTTCATTTCATGAGTATTGTAAATAAGCATTTAGGGTTGAAAAATGTGGGGTTTTAGAAACAATAAGAATCTAATTTTATAGACATGCTATGTGGTTTGGGTTTTAAGTAATTTTTTTGAGTGCAATAGAGTTAAACATAGAAAATAGTTAATTTAAACCGTCTGCAGGTTTTCTTGTAGTTTTTTAATAATTGAGTATTTCTTGTCCAATTCTAAATGGAAGAGACTGTTCATGCTTCTACTTAAGTACAAATACACAGTGTAATTTTCAACTAAAAAGTGCTGATTGTATTTCTCATGACATATATTCACACTCAAATGTTATTTTTTTCTTGTAATACGGTTTCGAGATACAAGTAATGTTTAAAGAAAACTTTGAATTTTTAAAGGTTAGTACATCACATAATTTTTATGGATAAAGAAAAAAACTCTAGCTCTACCAGTTTAGTTGGCTCTGATAAACTTTGAAGGTCTTCGTGGAATCAGAGACAAAACAATACACAATCAATTGTTCTGTCTTTAGATGTCAGCATTCTTAATGTTACAGTGTTCATCAGATGTAAAGTAGTATATTTTCAGGGTTTTTTTAAATAAAATATTTTCCTTTTTTGAAGATTAAGAGCTCACTTGATCCCATTAAACACCTTTTTGAATATAGATATGTTTTTTCAATAATCCTCGTGGAAGGATCACTACAGATATTGCATGGTTACATGACTTTATTTTTAGATTTGGACTCTAATGACACTTCTGTATGTAGGAGTCCATCTCTAATAAGCAATAGCTTGTGAAACAGCTTTTAATAAGGTCATGAAATTCTGATCCAGCCCCTTGGTAGATGCCTCTGACTCATTCATTTTTAAGAAATGTATTTCTGTAGGCTAAAAACTATAACTCTAAAAATATTTTGAGAGTTTATATATATACATATTTCTGATGAATGGCTAAATCAGTTCTTTTAAAAATAAATAAATAAAAAAGATTGGGGAAGTGAGATCAAGAAAAGCAAATCGTTAAAACCACATCAACTTGAAAAGGAAAAAAAATCCCCATGCTCATAATTGCAAAGTGCCTTCCAGATTAAAGGCCTTTGCCCGCTGACTGCATGTAATTTCAAAACTAATTCTGATTTTATCCATTGGATAAAAGTGAATTAGCTAAAATCTGGGCTGTGGAGTGCTTTTAATTCTTAAGGTAGATCTCTGGGTCCATTTTCAAGGACTTAAATGTAAAATTACTTTAAAAAGTCTTTAAGGAATTTGGATTTAGGGGACTTGAAGTTGTCAAGTACAGTAACACTAAAAAAGAGTAGTTAAATATAGGTCATGGTTTGTCTTTGTTCAATCCCTGAGATTCTTTTTTAAGAATTTTAAATGGCATTAAAAATCTAATATTTGAGTTGCTTAAAAAAATCTGTGCCCTGCACGCATTAAGGGGCAAAAAGTGATACATTTGATTTACATTTAAAGGCAGGCTCATTTGCTAGATAGGAGTAGTTTTTGCAGCAGTGGTAGAATACCAGCCCCTTCCCCACCTTCTGAAACGTTCAAAAATTTTACTCTTCTTATTCGAGCTGTAGTACCTGCTATGGTTTTTGATGGAGCACTTAATTACCTCTGCCTGCTCCAAAGGTAACCATGAAAATACCATGAGGAAGAGAGTGAGCTGGCCTGCCTTCTGAATCTGTTGCCTATTTTCTCTTTAAGCTGATGAGTGCTATTCAAAAAGGAAGGGTGTCTGGAAGCCGGCTTGCTATACTAATGAAAACTGCAGAAGAGAACCTGGACAGAAGAGTTCCCATTCCGGTGGACCGAAGTTGTGGAGGATTGTGAGTCTGAGCAGTAAATCCACAGCCAACAAACATAGGAACAGCAAAGCATCATGTAACAACAACCAGAGATGACTCACACCACTCCAAAATAGTGGATCTGGATAGCTGCCTTTTTTAACACTGGGACACATTCCAAAGCTTTAGGATGTCGATGTATACCCTTTATTTGTATTCGCCATTCAATCTAGCTTCTAAAAAGCATATTTTATCTTTTTTTCTCATTTTGAAGGCACAATGATTTAATCTTTTGCATCCATTTTGTGACCTGTTAGACTGGACATGCTTCCTTTTTGTTTATTTTTCATTTATTCTAAATTAGTTCTAGAGGCAGAATATTTTGGCAGAAATGGAAAGAAGCAGCTAGAAGAATTTTGTGACGTGTACAAAGCTCTGGACGTTAAGCTTGTAGATAGTGTTTGTTCTTAAAAGAAATTGAATGGGGAGTGACCTATTGAAATGATAGTGTTTCTGGAGACTTCTCAGCCCCTTCTTTCTCCAGCTTGTCTTCCTTCCTCTTCCAACAGTGTTGTGCAATTTTATATCTAGAGCATGACTGGAAGAACTGGAGTGGGAAGAAAAAGTTTAGATCCGGTTACAGGAGTGAGTCGCAAAGAGAAACTCTGAAAGCTTCCAGAATCACAGGTATAAGATAAGGATAGCACTGACATTTGCTGGGAGCTACAGTGATAGTTTCATCTCAGCAATTCATTTTTTTTTCTCCAGTCACTGCTGGTTTTTCTTTGACTATTATAGTTGCCAGGAAGATCCTTGCTTTTTTTACTTTAAAACCAGCGTGTAAGTGGCAAGTTGGATGTAATGGGATGAGACTAAATTTCTCAAATCTTTACAGTAGTAATAAATTTAAGGATTAAAAACCTGTGTTTATATATCCACATATGATAGCACAATTTTCAATCCCCAAATCCTAAATCTTGGAGCATGTGAGATTGTCAAACATAGCCTATTTTGCTTAGTTTATTGCATCATTTTTTGGGAGTATTGGTAAATAGTAAAAGAGGATAGAAATAGCCTTTAGTTAACTTTAGTTATAATTATTTGTAAAAAGGCACAATGCTGCAATATTCAAGGTCATTGTGGTTGCTTAAAGCCTTTCTCTTTCTGTACTCAATGGAAAATTTCTCAATCAACCAAAAAGAAAACCACACATAACACACACTCACACACATCCCCCACCCCAACACACACACATAAAGACACACAACAAAAATAGAAATCAATCTGCGTTGAATTTAACAAATGATGTATTGAATTTAAAGGGCCAGTTTGGTATGCTTTTGCAATATTTTGGTGGCATTTTAACCAGTCATCTGAATATTTATTCATTATGCTTCCTCTTGTGAAATTAACTGCCTGCTTTTTTGTTTTTTAAGATCAAGTTGTGTATATAATAGGAAATGTAACCCTTTATTTAGTGTCAGGTTTTCATTGTGCAGACTTCGGGTCTTAGTTTTTTAAACTGGTACATAAAACACTTTTGTGCCGTTATTTCTATTTATGTCGACATTGTAAGATGTCTTTATGCCTCATTCAAGTGGAGTATGAACCTGTGTGTCATAATATAAACACTGGAATTTCAGTCCCCTAAGCCCCTACTCTCACCTCTGAGACAAACAGTTCAGATAGCATCTTAATTCATGTTGTTTTTAAATGAAGTTTAGACTTGCCACTTCCTAAAGGAAAACCTAAAACAGGGCAAATGATGCTCCCAGGTATCACTGTGAACTTTCTTCTTTCAAGGTGTGAAATTTTTACACTGGCTTTTATTTTATTTTTTAATAATGGAAGCATGTGGCTTTGTAATTTAATGTTTTTCTATCAAGATTTCACTGTTTAGAACCAAGTGACACTTAATAGATAGAAGAGCTGTCCTTTAAAACATCATAGATGATGTATCACAGTATAGTACATTTGTGCTCTCTTTCTCTCTCTCTTTCTCTCCCTTTTTCTAGTTAGAGCAAGAGAACGGTGACTTATATCCTCCCTGAATGCCTTGCAGTAGGCACCGGGCTTATACCCTGACTGGCCTGGGCAGAGCTGTATTTGTAAAATAGGCGTTGTTTGTGCACGCTTTGCTATGAGTGAAGTTCTTTTAAGGACAAAGAAAAGTGCATTTTTCCTCTTTTGAGCATATCTGCTTTTGCTTAAAATCTGCTAATTCTAAAACATACGCTCCTTTACCAATCCCAGAGACTGGTCTTGGAAATGAGTTGGTTCCAAGACTTTACTGTGAATAAAGCACCCCCGCATTTTTCTGTAACTTCTTAATTAAACTTGTACAGCTTCTTTACCTGATCTCAGAGAAAGAGAAAAGAAATGGAGGAATAAGCCCCTTCAAAATCCATTCCAAGCACAAAAGAATTTTTTTCTTTTCATATAAACATCATATTAGATGATTCTGTTGGAGTGGGGGTGGAGTGTGCAGTGATTGTCTTTTATCATCAAGTGATTTCTTTCAAGAGCCTGTAAGGGGTTTCAGGTGAAGGAACCCCCATCTGTGGTAGAGACCAGGATGCTCCTTTAAATAGTCCCTACCCTGGTCATAACAACAGTGATGAGTCTGGATTATTTGTGAAGCCCAGGTCATCTGCCTCATATCCATCATGCTGTTTGCAATATTCTTGCTTTCAATCAACTGATCCTGAGTGTAACTTTAGGGTTTCTACAATTAAATGCATGCTTCCTATTCTGCTTTAGTTTCTAGCTTTGTTTTGTCTTTTTCAAAATATGTAGCTTACTCTTTTGTACAACAAAAATTTTATTCTGACTTTTACTAACCATACTGTATGAATGATCATTGATCTTATTTCCTTCATTTTTATGTATTTGTAAAGATTTTTGGCATACGAATGTGATTATATTGAAGTCAATGATGCTATAATTTGCACTGTTTTGCTTCTTGTCAACCCTTTTGAGGGAGTTAAAAAGCCCTATTGTGTTTTTAAAGAACATCAAGTTTAAGCCCAGTACTGTAGGGAATATACACACTGCATGTTTTCATATGTAGCACTTTTATGTATTGTGTTGGGTTATTGTTCTAGATTGGACTGTTAAATACTATGTTTGAGGCTGGGTTGTTGTTTTTATAACTGTCTTGGTGTTTTATCGCCATTATTTATTACTTTTGATATACAGAATGAGCTGCATGCATTTATAGAGCAATAAGAGCTTGTATTTAATGTGCCTTGTTTTTAACTGAATAGGAACTGAAAGCATGAATCAATAAAACTGATTAAAATGGTCCATTTGCTGGCATTTTGATGTTACCTGCAGTCAGAAATAACTTTGATTACTATTGAAGTTTACCAAAAAGTTTGAAAATATTTTCACAAACTATATTTTTAATGGCACTTACACATTAATTCTTTTATTTGGAAATTTTGTAATTTTCTCTCAAAAGTGAATCTCTGCATAGACAGATGTAATTTTATGAGACTGCCAGAATTATTTATATTAATTTGTTGCTGGAGCCTTTAGGTCATGACTTCTGTATTTCTGCAATCCTATTCTAAAATCACATCCATCCTATTACAACTCTGTTGAATTCTTTTTTTCCTTTCCTTTTTTTTTTGTCAACCAGAGCCTTTCAGCCTCAGCGTTCCCAGGCACACTGATGAATTTTATCATAACTAAAATCAATAGAAATGAATGGGAAAGATTACATAATCCATTTTGATCATCTCACATGTCAAGTTAGTGCAGGGTTGCCAAGTGTTGATAAATGCTCTGACAGAAAAAATGCTATATATTTTCATTGTCAGTAAATCAGTAAAGCTGTTATCAGTTTTAACACAAATTTTATAATGCCCATGTTATTTTATTGGTTTTAATTTACACATATATATGGAGCATATTCTCCATTTGTGGTTTAGATGCACTCCTCCTGGTTTTGCATGCTCAAAGGCAAGCGTGAGCTTCTGAAGGTTCTTTGAAATTGTACAGATACCCCAAAGTGATGGCTCCCAGACAGACTTGTAACAATGAACTGTTTGTTCAGTGCCTGGAAAAAAATATTATAGCAGCTCAAAACATTGTTCATTGATCTAGCTTATCAAATTTTATAGCACTTTAAAATTTGTCAACATAAAATTTGTCAAAATACATTGCTCCCAATTTTTGAAATGTATAAAATCTATGGTAATCAAAAAAAGGGAAATAGATACTAACATCAGTATTTTACAGTCTTTGTCAACACTGCATTATCACTGGTGTCAAATTTTCACCTGATGACATTTGACTTATGAAGGAAGGAAACAACAGAAATGTTAAATTGATGTGGTACCCTCATAATGAGAGAATTTCTGTATAGGAGATGGAGTTGATGAGTGTTTTGTGCCTCTACTTTGCATTTTAGGTCTCTAATTAGCTACCAAACTTGTGAAATCCATGCACATAACATGATGTATGTGAGCCATGATGACACCAGAGATAGTTCCGCAGATCCTGTGCCAAGAAAGTTGTGGGCCCTTTGCAAAACTCAATAAATATCTTTGCATTTTTGTTAAATACCTGATCCAGAATAATAAGATTTCTTTGATCTAAGCAAAATTATCAAGGCCATCTTCTTTCTCCACACATCGCATCAAATTACATTTCTTAGTCAACCCCTACCATCGGTTCCCTGTTAGTTAACTGTGGTCAGATTGGAGTTGCTTGAATCTATGGAAGTTAAGGTATGTATCCTACAGTCGTAGGTAATCTATCATGTTTCAGTGGAAGAGATAGGAGGATTGAGTCTCATGGTACCCACCTTTTTTGAGAGCATGGCATGTGGTACGACTGGTTTTACCAGCTTCTGACCTGTTCATGTCCACTGTTTTGTGTCTTAAACTGTTTCTTTGTGCTCATTTTCCAGGTACAGTAACGCCGGTAGAGCCCAGGTTACTGTCTTCATTGGCTGCTGCTAGCTTTCCTTCAATGTGGTGTCTCAAGGAGTTGGGAGGTGTAAAAATTTTTTTTTTTCTTTTAGCCCTGGTTCTTATGAAAAAATAGTTTTGGTTAAGGGGAATCTTGAATTGGAGGCTGCTTTTTCATAGTCACAGAATTTCTTTATTTGTTTTAACCTTATACTATAAAACTAGGTCTAACTTTTTTGTGGTTTTTTAAAAAAATCCAATTTAGGCATATCTGATTGTTTTAAAAAGCTACCTTCCTCTGTTTGTCTAAGCAATCTGTATGTAATGAGCTTGATCAACATATCACTTTTCTTTAACCTGACCTTAATGCCCTCTCTTAAGCAAGCAGTTCCCTCTTTACTACCTCCTTCCTTCAAAGGTCTTCGAGTAAATAGCCACTTCTCCCTTCATATTTGTTGCTTAGATTTTTCTCTCCTTTGCTTAAAATCAATTTTTTTTTGTTTTTCATCCCCATCATTAATTGATTTACAATTCATTTTTATGCATGCAGAGTTTTTCCTATCCAAGTTAGGAAGCTGTAAATCTTAGATCCATTGAAATGACAGTGAGAAATATTTCATTTTATCCCATGAATCATTTGCCATCCTTATTGCAGAAAAATGGCAAAATTATGGTGCACCATGTTTTCATAAGTTACTCTGCGTCCCCCTCTCCCCCCAGCCCCGTCACCCCAGTTCATTTCACTATTTGTTTGGAAAGACTGGAAGAGTCAGAATCCAGACACTTGTGGTAAACAATTCTGATTTTACAGCAGGCTAATCAAAATTTCATAACATCACAAATTAATTCCTCTGGTACCGTGAAGAATTTAATTCAGGTACCAAATATATCATCTATTTTTATAACTCAAAAATAGCTTGATATTAAAGTACATCCTGTGATTTTGCTGGTATAACAAAAGAGGAAAAGTGCCGAATTCCTTAAATAATGTATATAATTTTCATTGGGTTTCATACGTCAAAGTAGTCATTTATGTCCCGAAAGGTATGTGCTTTGCACTATATGTTTGAACACTATTAAAAAATCATAGCTTCTTCCAAAAAGGACAAATCATAGGTTTACATTTCACATATGACCTAGAATGAAATATCTTATATGGAGACTCCCTCCCCCTTAGGAATATTGTCAAAAGTAAAGGTTGAAAATACTTCTAAAGACAAATAGTTTTAAAAAGCAATAAATGAAATCAGTTACTAAAACGTTATAATAT